CATGAAAATAATTTTTAACAATGCTACTTCTAACAATCCTCGTCCTCAAAATCACTAAACCAAAAATCGCTTGCATTGCTGTTATCGTCGGTTATGATAAGTTCATTAACGATTACATCTAATTGATTTTGACTACTTCAAAATTGATCTTCATTGTCCGCTCGCCACCTACCAGATAAAGAACAAGCTCTATACCTACTGTTAAAACTACAATTTTTGTTAATATTATAGCTAGAGCAATCGGTCCGACCGATTCCTTCCGCTGTATCAATTACCGAGCACTAACTTCACAATATTGCTAATTCGAGGCATTTTTTTAAACTTCATTTTGACAAATCAGTATGACAAATGTCATAATTATAAAGACAAATTCAAAGAACTGAACAGTTTAGAAACATCATTACGTGAATTTTCGACGTGTTCTATTTATTTATGTCTACTACTGTATGTGTTTGAGCCTGATTAAGTGTTATTACAGTATTTCTATGTGCGATTCTGAATTAGTCTAGTAAATGATAAATTGTACGTAGAGAATTCGCAAACTGCTAATTAATTTGACTAATCTGTGGACATGTAGAATATCTTGTTCTAAATACATACATGGGATGTATTTCTGTATGAAGGCGGTTTTATTATTTCATTCGTTATGAAATTTATTTTATCTGCCAAATGTAAACATTAATTATTCGTATGATTAATTTCCATAATAATTTATTGATACAATAAAATTAAAAACAAAGAGTGATTGACGTATTTTGTTTCGAATCAGTGAAGTAATTGTGCATAATAATTCGGTTAGTGTTTTTTTTTACTATCACATGTTTCAAAAATACCGTGCGATCAAAAAAAAAATAAATTAGAGTAGGCGACGATTACTATTCTACAGTTGGCAACACGAAATTTTCCACACAAACTGGAAGTGAAAATGACCATTCACCATTTTCTTCTTGTACAGCATTATTGTAATAACTTGCAACAATAAAAATGTTCTGCTCTAAGGTGAACATTATTTCACTCAAAACGAATAAAACGCAGACTTGTCAGAGTTTCCGCTGACATTTAACGTCAAACATCAGGATTGTCATCTGAAGGACTTTAATCACCGCCTACTCTAATTTTTTTTTTTGATCGCACGGTATATGTATGTATGTATTAGAAATTTATTATTGATAAATACTTAATTAAAAACAAAAAAGTATAGAGCGGTCTGATCGCGCTCGCGTCAAGGCAAGGATATCTTTGGGATGAAAATATACCAATTTAGGGTAGTTTTTCAAGTGCGTTCTTGAGATAAAAGATCAAACTAGGCTATGAGGATAGTTTTGATTTTCAATCGCCTTGGCGAGAAAATAAACAACTGCAAGCAGTTTTTGGGAAATTTCTTGCCCACACAAAAAGTGCCGGTATATTTACAGCCTCATTTGTGATTTATTCCCGTAAAAATTTTCTTATTTTCTTTCGATTTCTTACGTCGTAGTCTCAAACCTACCTCTCCTAACAATTACTTAACCAAAATATCGGCAGGTAAAAATTTGGATAGTTAAATAAATTTAATAATAATAAATAATAAAATTATGTAATAAAGGTAACTAATTCTCAAACAACAAATCTCGTGGTAATAACTGTAAATAAATAAATCCGTACATTTAGCACAGCACCTAGTTTTCCAAGATGTTGACAGCTGTTAATGAAATGAGATAAGACTTAAAATAGGTCCCTAATGAAATAATAACTCGCGTTTTCTGTGGTTTTATTTGCATCACAGTTTCCTTTTTAAATTAATTGCGCTACCTGTGTTTCATTAGTGGATTAAAGCAAGTTTGTTTTTTTTTTTGTTGAAAATTGTTTATAGCAAATACGGCCTCTTTCTTCATATTTTTGCTATACTTTTTTGTTGAATTACATAATAAGCGAGTTACAAGCTCATGATTTATTGGGATCTAGTAGTTTATGAAAAAACACTTCTCTCATAATCGAAATCGTAATTTTTGTTTTCATTTCGATTTTAATTATTCTTTGTTTATTCAATAGTGATTGTTTAATTAAAAAAATGATTATCGCTTTATGTTCTTTTCTTAAAATAGTATCGCTCAGAATGTGAGCAGAAGATTCTGCAAGGGGATGAAATTTTATCCAAACTAAAAGTAGACCGAAATGATATCTTGAACCAATTAGAAGATGAGAAACGGAAGAATGAAGATCTCCAATTTAGATTTGAGGAAGCTGCGATTACTAAAAGTGATATCGAGGTAAAAACTGACAACAATTTTTTTTTATCTTGTATTTATGGATTTATTCACTTGTTATAGGAGAGTATTCTTGTTCAAAGTGTAAGTTGAAGCATTCAGATTGTGTGATTTTTAAATTGTTGCATGTATCATCGTTTTAGTTTTTGTTGTTTCTTATTTTTATATAAAAATTTACTCCTAGGCTACCAGTGACGCTTATATAAAAAGAATTAAGGAATTGGAAGCAAAGCTGGAAGAAGATCGACAAAAAGCTGAACAGTTAGAAGCAACTTCTAACAAACTCTTTGAAGCTGAAGAAGGTTTGATCAAGGCTCGTGAGGAAATCGAAGCTCTTCGAAAAGATTTGGAGCAAACGCGGACAAAGAGAGAAACTCTTGAAGAGGATAAAACGGCAACTAGACAACTGGTTGAAAGTTTACAAAAACAAGTAGATAGTGCTAAAGCTGAAAACGAAGAAAAACACAAGACTATAGATCAACTAAATGAAGAAGTTTTGAAAATAAAAGCAGAAAATGAGTTAGTGAAACGTGAAATTGTCGAATCAATAAAGAGTTCCGACGAAAATTGTGAGAAGAAAGACGTACAACTTGAAAAATTCAAGCATGAATTGAATCACCAAAAAAAACTTATAGAAAAGTTTCAACAAACTCACGCTGATTTGGCAAAAGAGAATGAAAAACTTAAGATGGACCTTAGCGCTAAATCTCATGATTTGGAAGTTGCAACTGATGAGCTTGCTTCTAAGGACAAAGAAATAAAGTCATTGCGTGAAGAATTAGAAACTGTGAGGAAGGAATTAGGGCATAAGGTTGGTGATTTGGAACGACAAAAAAGTAATCTTCACGAAATTGAGGAAAATTTAAGAAAAGATTTAGAACAAGTCCGAGATGAACTCAAAGAAAGAATTTCTGAAGTTGAGAATACCAAGAAAGAGTATAACGTCCATGTCAGTCAAAAAGATCAACAAATTGCTGAAGCGAACAAGACGATTGCTGAACGTGGTGAAGAAATTAAGAAACTTTCCCAAGAACTCGAAGATGTTAAACACGCCCACGAAGATAGCAAAAATGAAATTCACAGTAGACATGCTCGACAAGTTGCTTCTCAAGATTCCCAATTGATGGCATTGTCGGCAGAAATCCAACAAAAGAATGAAGAAATAACCAAATCATCTATTGTAATTAGCAAACTGGAAGAAGACCTTTGTGCCAAAAACGGAATTATTGAAAAATTACGCTTGGAATTAGAAAACTTTGAAAATCAAAAATCTAGCCATTCAGAAACTTCGATATTATTAAACCAAAAGTTAAACGAATTGTCTCTCACCAACGGAGATCTTCAAAGACAGCTTGTTTCTGCTAACGATCGTATTAACGGATTACTTGAACTCAAACAACGTCTTGAGGCTGAAATTCAAGGTTTAACAGCTAGATGCGAAAATGCAGCTCAGTTGGAACAACTCAGAAATGAAATACAACAACGAGAGAATATGCTAGAAAGAGTTAAAGCTGAATTCGAGGAGAAATTACAGAATTCTGAAAGGATGCGACACGAACTCGAACTTGAAAGACAACAAAATCTTAATAACTTTGAACAGATGAAAACAGACCTTGAAGCAAAATTACGCATTGCTGTACAGTCAGAAGAATTGCTTAAGCAGAGGTGTGATACTTCTGTTGCTGAATTAGCCAAAATGCGTGATGAATATCGCGTGAAAATAAACGAATTAGAACATGCCGTACAAGAAAAAGATTTAAATGTGGCTAATCTTCAAAATAAATGTTCTGAAGCTGTGAAACAATATCAAGACCAACTTCAAGTTGTCAATGACGAAATGAATCGCAGATTGCAAGAATGTCAACAAAAGATTTCTTCATTTAATGACGAAACTGTCAATTTAAAAGAAGAATTGGCGAAGAAATCAGAACAGCTCATTGAAGCACGTGCCGAAGTAAGTCATATTTTGGCACAAGGAAAACTAGTTGAAAATGAATTTAAACAGAAATACATCCAAGATACGAAACAATTAGAATTTGAATTAAACGAGAAGAATATGAAACTAGAAAAAGCTTTAACCGAATTAGAACTTATGAAGGGTGATTGTCAAAATACTAACAGTAATTTAACGGCCAAAGACGTCCAAATAAGTGAACTAGCCGCACAGGTTAAGAACGCAGAAAATTTGATAAATCAGTTGCAAGAAGAATTGAGTGCAACAAAATTGAGACAACAACAATCGTTCAACGAACACGAAAGCGTTCAAAATCAATGTAGAGGTTTACTAGACCAAGTAGCATCACTAACTGATCAAGTGAAGACTGGAGAAGCTGTTTTCAAGAATTTGCAAATTGAACACAAAAACGCAATGCAACTTGTCAATCGTCTGCGAATAACAGAACAACAGAAACAACAATGTCTGCAACAGTTGCAACTTGAAGCTTCTGGTGGTAACGAGAACTGTGATCAAGTATTGCAACTTCTGAATCAAGTGAAAGTCGATAACACAACTGGAAACACGGAGAGGATTTTAAATCTTCAAAAAGATCTTGATTTATTAAAAAATCAACTTGCCGAACGTAACCACCAATTCGATGTTCAGCAAAACGAGTTGTTGCGTTTACAGGAGCAACTTGTGAAGGTAATTTATAGAATTGATGTTGGCTAGATTTACTGTTTTTTTTATCGGTGTTTAGGCCCAACAACATGTTCCCTGTGTTGGAGGATCCCAGGACCCGAATTCAGTAAGCTTAAACGACACACACAACACAAAACAACACAACACATTGCATGCGTCCCAACCCTCAAACTTTTTAGAACTGCAGGTACAATTAAGCATGCTTAAAAATTCGTACGGGCAGCTGGCATCACAGTTTGATATATTGAGAAAGGAAAATGGTTATCTCTTAGCGCGTTTGCAAAATGCTGTAAATAATGGTAATCCGAATGTGGTTAGTAATGTGCTACGGAGACTGACACAAGCGAATCAACAGTACAACGTTTTTAGAAATGCGATGCAAGCTGATAATTTTAATTTGCAAAAAACACTTCAATATTCAATGTTGCAGTTGCAAGACAGAGACCGTGCTTTGAACAACCAAAACATTCAAATTAAAAATCTCCAACAAATCATTCGCTCGCTTCCGATCCAATGTAGAAACTTTGCTCTTTCGGGAAATAACTTTGAGACTAATGACTGTTCTAATTTATCCGTGGATAATAAAAAAATGGCAGATTTGATAAAGACGAAAGAAGGAGAAGTACAAAATTTGCGGAAACAAATTAGTTCACTACTAGTCGAATATAGTAATCTTAAGTCTCCAAATAATATTTGCATTCAAAAACCATGTTTGTGTGCAGAAGCACAACATCATGTTAAAAAAGTACAACAAATTGTTACACCAACACCACCGAAAATTGTGCGCGTGTTGGTACCAGTAGTTCAACCTAAAGTTGTGGTTAAAGAAGTGAAAGTACCACAAATTGGTGGTCAGCGTTGTCCACCTCCGAGAATAGAAAAAATCGAAGTACCGAAAGTGATTATTCAAAAAGTACCGTTCGAGGTCCCTGTACCATCAAAATGTACCCTTCCAGATTTATCGACTTTGTACAATTGTAAATCATTGGAGAAGTCAATTGACGAGCTTTCGCTACCTAATTTTAGTCTTGCTGACATTTTCAAATTTAAACAAACCCTATTATCTTTAATCACGCGACAAAAGAATTGCATGGCATCGTCGATAACAACTAAAATTTGTACAAATTTACCAAAAATAAATGTACCCCAATCGTGTCTCGCACCTTCTTCAATTGTTGACAGTTTGGTTATGAGTGGTTACAGCACTTCTGTTGTCACTTCGTATAAAGAATCTCTATTGCTTCTTTTGCAAAATGTACAAAATTGTTCCCTCCAGGGCAAAAACTATGCTGGTATTCAACAAACAAAAGTTGATAAACTAAGTGGAGCAAATTGCCCAAAATTGCCTGTTTTGAAATTGTCAGAAGGTTGCTTTGAGCCGGTTGAAATTGTCAATAGTGTTGATTTAGGAGGCTACAGTCCTTCAGACTCTGATAATTATAAGCAATCACTTTTAAAAATGTTGAATAAGTTACAGAAATGTACTTTAAACCTACATTCAGTTTCAGGTTTTAGCAGTATACCACCTGCGCTGTCAAATAATAATTTGCAAAACAATTGTTCACATTTACGATTACCTTTGTTGGAAGCACCACAGACTTGTTTATCACCTTCACAATACACACAAAATTTAGTTATTCAAGGTTACAATCCTACCGACATTTCTTTATTTAAACAGTCTTTGTTAGGTCTCATTGAAAAATTACAAAATTGTAGAGATTCTCCAAATTACAGTCAAAAAGCGGTATCAAATGGAGGTTTGTTACTCACCCAACAACCTCCACAATCAACCTGTGGAAATCTTCCAAAACTACCAACTGTCGGAAATTGTGTAGCACCTCCTGAAATAATAAATCAAGTAAATTTGAATTCATTCTCCAAACTAGAAGCAGAAATATTTAAGCAAACTTTACTGGAATTATTACATTTACAACAAAAATGTTGTTCGAAGCAAACTTCGCAAGTTGTTGAAAAGCCAGTATATGTCCGTATCCCTGTTGAGCTACCGCCTAGAACCGTGGTCAAAAAGGTACAAACAGTTCAGCCTCCGAGAATTATCGTTAAACAAGTTCCAGTACCGGTGCTACAACCACCCCAAATTATCACTAAACAAGTTTATGTCCCGGCGAGTACTAAATGTAAACCTATTATTCAACAAGTACCTGTGAAATATGCGGTACCAGTGAAAATTAAAATTCCAGTTCGCATTCCAGTCACAAAACCATGTCACTTACCCAACATTGATATTTTTGACTGTTCTCCTTTCACTAGAGCTGTTGATTCTTTAGATTTATCCGGTTACAATCCATCTGATGTCTCTGAATTTAAGGAAAGTCTTTTATCATTAATTAATAAACAAAGAATGTGCTCTCTGACGGTACCAACATCAGCATCAATTATTAATCCTTATATTTCTTCCAACAATCAACCAAAAGTGTCATTGGGAACGTCTCGATGTAATTTACCTGATTTATCTCAATTACAGGGTTGTATAACCCCACAAATGCTTGAATCATTTAGAATTTCACCTGTATGTAGTCATCATGAGGTTCTTACGTTTAAACAAACCCTTTTGGGTATAGCAGCAGTTCAAAGAAACTGCGTAATGCGAAATGATAATCCACCTCCAATGTCTTCTGATGATTTACAAGACGAACTTCCAAGAAAGCAGTTGCAAAGTATTCATCAGCATGAGAATAAAACACCGAAACCCAATGGTGTGTCTCCTAATTTGTTCACGAAACAGTTAGTTCCGAAAGTTATTGTGAAAGAAATTCGAGTACCGGTGAAAGTACCAGTGCCAGTGCGTGTGATGCAACCTCCAAGAATTTTAGTGAAACAAGTGCCCGTGCCGATACTACAACCACCAAAAATTATTATAAAACAAGTACCAATTCTTATCAATAAAACTAATTCAAAACCGTTGATTATCTACAAAGAAAAGCCAGTAATGGTTCAATTACCTCCACGTGTCTTGATTAAACAAGTACCTGTTAAAGTTTTTGTTCCAGTTCAAGCTAAAGTATCAACTGACTGTCACTTGCCTTCGATAAATATTAATAGTTGCTCTGATTTACAAAACGAAATTAATTCTTTGGTAGTAGGAGGTTTTAATTCAGAGGAAGTGAATAGTTTTAAACAAAATCTTTATTCAGTTCTTATGCAACAAAGAAATTGTATTCAATGTCATTTGCCTGATGTAAATATACAAGGATGTGAGGCATTTGATCAACAAATTGGATCAATGAATATTCCAGGTTACAATCAATGGGATGTGGAAATATTTAAACAAAAACTTATTTCGATACTTGCTCAGCAAAAACAATGTTTAGCTTCTACTAATGGTGGGGATCAAGAATCGAAAGCACCACAACCTTATAGAGTTATTGCGAAGCAAGAACCAATTCCAGTTCCACAAACTGCGAAAATAATATACAAACAAATTCCTGTGTTTACAAAATGTGATAAAAAACCGGTAATTATCGTGAAAGAGAAACCAGTGCCGATTTTGCCGACTCCTCGTGTTATTGTGAAACAAGTACCAATAAGAGTAGGAGATGATGGTACTAAACGTCAACAACCTGGTACCACAAAGTTACATTCTTCTGAACTGAAATGCCATTTGCCTAGTATAAATATACAGGGATGTGCAGATTTGATACAACAAATCAATTTGGCAGATATGTCGAGTTATGATTCACTAGAAGTTCTGAATTTCAAACGAAATCTATTGTCGATGTTTTTGGAACAAAGAAAATGTATACAAAAGTCGGTGCCAAACGGGCCAACTACTCATCAACCAGTTTATATAAGAGTTCCAGTTAAGGTACCAGTTCGCGTAGAAGTACCAAAAGAGGTAATTAGAGAGGTTAAAGTACCTGTTCCGGTACTACAACCTCCTAGAATCATAATCAAGCAAGTACCTGTTCAAGTGCCTCAATCTCCTAGAGTCATAATTAAGCAAATACCAATTATGACCAAATGTGATCACAAACCAAACGTTGTAGTCCAGGAAAAACCGGTTCAGATTCCTTCACCGCCACGAATTGTTATCAAGCAAGTACCGGTTAGAGTTCCAGTTTCTACAAACTTACGTTGTCACTTACCTAGACTAAATATCAATAATTGTGAAGATCTACGAAATGTTGTTGGATCATTATCTGTGCCTGATTATGATGGATTCGAAGTGAATCGTTTTAAAAAAGATATTTTGTTACTGCTTAATAAACAAAGAAATTGCATAAAGTGTAAATTACCTGATCTACAAGTAATTGCAGGGTGTCATGCACTACAAAATCAAATTCAATCTCTACCTCTATCAAACTTTAATTCTTGGGATGTACACATGTTTAAACAAAATCTCTTGTCACTTCTCGACGGCCAAAGAAAGTGTGTCCTACAATCTGGTAGTCTTGTTAGGAACAATATTGTACCTGAGGGAGAACACGGTGAAACTATCAATCCAGGTATTGTACCATCTTGCGTTCCAAAAATAGTGGAAGTACCAAAAGAAGTTGTAAAAGAGGTAATAAAAGAAATTCGTGTCCCAGTAAAACAACCAGTCGAAGTACCAAAAGAAGTTAAAGTTTTTGTGCCGCAAGCTCCCAGAATTTTAATAAAACAAGTAGAAGTACCAGTACCTCAGCCTCCTAAAGTGATCGTGAAAGAAGTCCCAGTTATAAATGAAAATTGTGATCAACAGCCAAAGATTATAGTGAAAGAAAAACCTGTTCATATACCGGTGCCTGGACGTACCATCACCAAAGAAGTACCGGTTAGAGTCAATGTACCTGTGAGGATTCCTGTTAAATCAGAGTGTCACTTGCCTGTTGTGAATGTTAATACTTGCAACGATATACAAAGTGAGATTGATTCTATAGTTTTGAATGGCTACAATTTGGTAGAAGTGAATAACTTCAAACAAAAACTTTTCAGTTCGTTTATGCAGCAAAGAAACTGCTTACAGTGCAGGTTGCCACAGGTGAATGTAGTGGGATGTGAAGACTTGCAGAAACAAGTTGATTCGATTAATATACAGAATTACAGTTCTTTGGACATAGCAAATTTCAAAGAAAATTTGTTCAACATGCTTCTCAACCAACGAAAATGTATGCAAAAACAATTAGAACGTTTTATTTCTCCTAACCAGGGATTGAAACGTCTTCCTGGTCACACAATATTAAGCACTGCAAGTGACGAGTATCCTCGAATTACAGCACAACCTTGCGTACCTAAAGAAATAATTAAGGAGGTCAAAGTTCCTGTAAAAGTTTTTGTAAAAGAGCCTCCAAAAATTGTTATAAAAAAAGTATCAATACCACAACCTCCTCGAATTATAATCAAACAAGTACCAACAGTAAAATATGAGCGTAACCAGATTAGAAACGGAGGAGCAGTACCTGAAATAACACCAAGCGCTCCAAGCAATGAGCAGTCTGGAGTTCCAAAATGTGTACCTAAAGAAATAATTAAGGTGGTTAAGGTTCCTGTAAAAGTTTTTGTGTCACAACCTCCGAAAATTGTGACGAAAGAAATACCAGTACCGAGAATACTAATTAAGCAAGTACCGGTTTTAAAATGTGATTACAATCAGATTAGAAAAGAAGAAGAAGTACCTGGTCAAAATTCTGCCTATGGTTATATCAATAAAGGTTCACCCAACTCACTACCATATTCTAATTACGATTCAGTGTTTTTGAAGAGAAATGTTTGCGAAGATTTGCAAAATGAAATTAATTCGTTGGTTCTACCTGTTCCTGACTCTCCACAAATACCCGACTTTAAACAAAAACTAGTATCATTTATTTTACAACAAAGAAAGTGTGGACAATGTAGGTTACCCAGTTTGGGTATTGGTGGATGTCAAAATTTACAAAACCAAGTTGCTTCTTTAAATATGCCGAATTATGTTTCTTCAGAGGTTCAAACGTTCAAAAATAATTTATTAAATTTGCTTTTGCAACAACGAAATTGTGTGAAATCTGATTGTGAAGCCAAAGTAATTAAAGTTCCTGTCGATAGATTTATTTATCATAGGGTTCCTGTAAAAATACCGGTGAAAGAAATTGTAGAAGTACCTAAAAAAGTTATCGTCCCGGTGAAAGTACCAATAATTAAACAAGTTCCCGTCAGAGTACCCGTAAAACAAATCGTTGAGGTACCAAAAGAAGTGATAAAGGAAATAGTTAAGGAAGTTCGAGTCCCTGTGAAGGAAGTTGTTGAAGTACCAAAAGAAGTTATTAAAAAAGTATCAATTATGGTACCACAACAACCGAAAGTTGTAGTTAAACAAGTACCTGTGGCGGTACGTCAACCACCTAAAGTGATTATTAAACAAGTACTAGTGCCAACTAAATGTGATCATAAACCGAATGTAATTGTTAAGGAAAAACCAGTACAAGTGCCAGTATATTCGCCCCCTATAGTAAAACAGGTACCAGTCAAGATTTTAGTTAAATCGGAGTGTCATTTGCCACAAATAGATTTCAGTAATTTGGATACATGTGGAGACGTTCACAGTTTGCTTGGATCTTTAGCTATTCCAGGGTATAGCTTAAAAGAAGTTGACCGCTTTAAAGAAAAACTTTTGGCCGTATTTGCACAACAGAGGAATTGTGCTCAATGTAGACTACCGGATATAGATATCAACCAGTGTGGAGGATTACAACACCAAGTGGATTCGTTAAATATACAGAACTCTAATCTCTGGGAGGTTCAGACTTTCAAACACAAGCTTTTAACGGTACTTCTGAATCAAAGAAATTGTGTGGTACAACCTGAATGTCGACCACAAGTAATTAAAGTTCCTGTCGATAGACCAGTTTACAGGGAAATTCCAGTTAACATTCCGGTGAAACAAATTATCGAGGTACCAAAAGAGATCATCCGGGAAATTAAGGTTCCAGTTTACAAACAGGTGCCTGTGCGAGTCCCTGTGAAACAAATTGTTGAGGTTCCAAAAGATGTTATTAAAGAAGTGAAAGTAGAAGTTCCAAAAGAAGTGATAAAAGTAGTTAAAGTTCCAGTTCGAGTTCCCATACTTCAACCCCCGAAAGTGTTGGTAAGGGAAGTAACAGTTCCGGTGCCACAACCCCCCAAAATTATTGTAAAACAGGTACCTATCATCATTTCTAAATGTACTCAGAAACCTAGAATTGTGGTAAAAGAGAAACCTGTACCGATTCAACTACCACCTCGTATTATAATTAAGGAGGTACCAGTGAAAGTTAAAGTCTCAGTACCAGTTGGAGAAAAAAATGAGTGTCATTTACCTACCATAAAACTGAATAGTTGCGAAGATATACAGAACCAGATTGCATCTTTAGTTATTTCGGGTTACAGCGTGCAAGAAGTGCAGCAATTTAAACAGAATTTGTTGTCGGTACTTTTCGGTCAACGGAATTGTTTGCAGTGCCATCTACCTGACATTAGTGTTTACGGATGTACAGGATTGGAAAATCAAATAGCAGCAATCCATCTACCAAATTTAAATGCACTTGAAGCTCATAGATTCAAACATAACCTTTTTACAATGTTACTCAAACAGCAACAATGTGGACCACGACGTGAATACTATCCTGAAGTTCTTCAATTTTCTCCACCTAAAACTGCTTCATTAATAAGTGAAGATTTAAATCCAAATGTAATATACGGTAATGGTGGGGCAAGAAACCTTAACATCCCCGAGATGAAGAAAGAGGCTTGTAAGCCAAGGGTTTTGGTTAAAGAAGTACCGATATCAGTACCACGAGCTCCTAAAGTAATCGTTAAACAAGTACCTGTGATAACAAAATGTGACCAAAAACCACAAATTATTATCAGGGAAAAACCTGTGCCAGTACCATCGGCGCCTCGAATTGTCATTAAGGAAGTACCCGTGAGTTCAAAATGCTATCTTCCTAAAATAAATGTGGCCACGTGTGACAAAATACAATCGCAGATCGAAAACCTTGAGATTCCGAATTACAGTTCTTTGGAGGTAACCCAATTTAAACAAAATCTTTTAACCATTCTCACTAGACAAAAGAGTTGTACTTTACATCACTGTGCTAGAAAAGAGTGTCATCTACCAAATATAAATATCAAAGGTTGTTCTTATTTAGAGAACCAAATTGGTGTATTATCTTTCCCTGATTTTAACCCTGGAGAAGTTCAAACATTCAAACAAAATTTGTTGTCATTGCTTTTACAACAGCAAAACTGTCAAAAAAATGGTTCTTTGAACAAACGCGTACCAGTAAACGTGTCGACGGAGCCTCAGAAGGTGGTAGTACCACAAGTTCCTTTTCCACAATCTCCAAATATTGAAAACCATCAGAGGCCACAACAGGGTAACGTACCTTTACCATCTAATGCACATGTAAATAGGGCAGGAGAAGGAAGTCAACTACCCTTACAAGATGGAGTACCCAAACTTCACAAAGCAGCACAAGAAGGTGGGACACCCATGTATCCGAGAGAAGGAGCTTCAGGGTTTCCTACCCTGACTCCATTTAGCTTCGATTACTGTCGTTTGCCAGATTTAAGTCTAAGCAATTGTGAAGATTTAGAAAGCCAAGTAAGAGAATTGTTTGTTCCAAAGTGCAACACTGCTGACGTTTTTAAATTTAAACAAGGTTTGTTCTTATTACTTGCGCAACACAAAATTTGTAACAAAGAAATAAATCCTCTTCGTGAAAACTCTTCAGGCACTCCTAGTTCTCTAAGACTTCCAACAAATTATCAAAATAGCTGTCGTTTGCCCCGAATTGACCTTCACGGTTGTACTAATCTGCAAAACAAAATCGAATCATTAAATTTAAATAATTACGATTTGGTTTCAGTTGCTGAATTCAAACAAAATTTGCTTTCGGTACTTTTGGACCAAAGAAGGTGCATTAGTTCAGGATCTGAAAATTGTCAACCAAAAATTGTTAAAGTTCCGGTTGAAATACGCGTTCCGTATCCGGTACCACAAGCTCCTAAGATTATAGTTAAACAAGTTCCCGTTTTCATTAAACAGAATCCCGAAATTGTAATAAAATATGTGCCAGTTCATGCATCACCTAAAAACGTTGTTCTGAAACATGTACCAGTTAGAGTACCAGTAAAAGTGCCGGTACGTGAGCAAGTACCTGTTAGAGTACCAATTCCGGTCCAGGTTCCTGTTAAACCTGAAATTACCGATACTCCAGTTTATATTCAAAAACCAGTTGTTACTAAAGAAGTACCAGTAAATTTGTGTCCGAAACCACAAATTATAATTAAGGAAATACCTGTTGAAAAGAAAGTTTTTGTTCCGCAGTCTTGCAATTCTGAATCTGACGATAATAATAATAATAATAAGATTTTGATGCCACAGTCAGTTAAACCTATTATAAAACAAATCCCTGCTCCGGTTAAGGAACCTTTGAAGGTTCTAGTCAAAAAAGTACCAGTATATATTAAAACACCAGTACCAGTAAGAATACCACAGCTAAAAATAGTGGAGAAACAAGTGCCGGTTCGCATTGAGGTACCACCAAAAGTAATAATTAAGGAAGTTAAAGTACCAATGCTGAATGGTAAGTCGTGTCCACCACCTAAAGTTGTAATGGAGAAGGTACCAGTGCCTCAACCTCCACAAATTATTACAAAACCGGTACTTGTTTCAGTGCCTTGTAATTCTTCAAAATTGAGTCAGATGTGTGCTTTACCGACATTGCCACTTCCAAAAATTTGCGAGAGTCCTGAAAATGTAGTAAACGGAATATTTTTGGGCGGTTTTGGGTCAAATGACTTTGAATTATTTAAACAAAATTTGTTGCAATTGCTTAAACACCAGCAGCATTGTAACTTCTCCCCTAAAGCTGCACAATTAGATGCTGCGAAATTTCCATCAAAGTCGTTTTTATGTCAAACAAACAGAGAAAGATTAATGAAACGCTTGCATAATTACGGATCCCAATTATGTCGGTATAAGAAAATGATGAAACAGTTACAACTTCGATTCAATGGTTTGTTGAATTTGAGACAAGAACAGTTACCTGCAGTTCCTCTTCCCATGTTGCATGTTATGAAATCTGTCTCTCCTTCCGTTCCTTTACGACCCTTCCAGCATGTATCGTCGGTCTCTGCCACTCGGGCAACATTTGTCAGAAACCTAAACCAAGTTTACAAACACACACAAGCAGCATTACAACATTGCATGGATGCTATTTTGGCTCAGTCATTAACTCACTCACAGATTAACGCGAAATGTAACAATTGTCACCAGCTTATCCAGGATAAAGAACTGGCGGAAAATCAAATCAAGTTCCTCAATTCAATTATTGTGGATATGCAGAAGAAGACCGAAGAGCAAAGAGCGAGGATTGAAATCTTGGAATCAGGATATAGCCCGGCTATGGCTGACGAATTGAAATTGTAAATGGATTTGTTAGTAACAATTGTTTTGTGATGAAATTTTTGTAGGATGGGTTCTATTCAGCGACAAGTGCCTCCAAGAATTTATTGCGATATCTGCGAAGAGTTTGATTTACACGAAACGGAAGACTGCCCCAAACAAAACACCGATTTAGTGCCAGCGAATGGAGGACAGCGGGAACATAAACATGTAGCAGAAAGGCCATACTGCGAAATATGTGAAGGTAAAAAGTTATAAGTTCTTACCATTTGTTTCAATAATAATTCATTTCAGCCTTTGGTCATGCCACGGAAGATTGCCAGGAGGATCAAACATTTTAGAAAATATATTGTTATTAATAATTTATTTATCAAATTAATAAATATCTTGTAAAAAATGCCTAGTTAACATTTGTTTAACAAAAATGAGTTGTTTTGTAAGACACTATCCGTTGAAGAGGTATTTGTAAATAAGGAATGTGAATCATAATTATTTAATAAATATATTTTTCTGTTATTAACAGTTATACAGATGTTTTTTTCTCCAACTATTTATTAGTCTGCAGTCTTTGTTGTAATAGAAAAAAAGCGAGAAAAATAATTTTGAAGAATACATACCTACCATTAAAACACTGATTTGAGTGTACACACTTCAGTATAACCTGTAGTAGTCACTTACTAAAATTTTTCTTCTTCTTGGATCTTCTTGGTATGGAAACGATGAACAAAAACACGATTAGCCCGTCACACCAAACTTTTATTTTAATGCACTGTGCATTAAAATAAAAGTTTGGTGTGACGTGCTAATCGTGTTTTTGTTCAACTTACTAAAATTAAAAAGCACATTTTTAGCGACATCTGTTTAATAGTGGAATAAAGAAATATTTTTTTTGCCGCTCCGGCATTGAACGCAAGGTATTTTGGGCTGCATAACAATGACTGATTTATTGGAGCATCAACTTTATTCCAGTGTTATTGAAAAAATTCAAGTCCTTAAAATCTCAACTTTTTTTCTTTTCCGGCAGAGCTTTCTTAAAAATGCTTAAAGATTAACCAAAATCACGTTGAGGCGTTCCCTCACATTTATCAAATCGAATTCTGATACCATTAAATAATAGATGAGGTTCAATTTTATAAACCGAGGCGAAGCCGAGTTTTATAATCAACCGATTTTTCGTAATCCCATTTCTGACTTAGAGAGAACAAGCTTTAAATTTTGTAATTCCCGTGCTTTCATTAAATAAATCGCAACATCATGAAGGAAGTTACCATGGTTTTTAATGACTGACGGCCATTATAATCCATGCTATGGTTTCTTAGATTGGTGAATTCAGTCTATCTATTTAATTTAGCGTCCAAACACCAAAAAAAATTATTTTCTAAAAAATAATTAATAAACGTCGTTTTCACAAATCAAAAATTGAAACGGCTGTTTGTACGAGATTTTGCTGCCTGTCTGTGTGATGCCCAATGATATCCCGAAAGAAAGAGCATCTTCTGAGACGATCAGATTAGTTTTGAGAAAATTGGGTTCCTGTTAAGTTATCAAAGCGAAGGGTACCACTGGTTGAAGCTTGAATGGGTGCCTTCCGTAATTTGTATTTTAATATAAGTACCCCATTATTGTGTTGGTATTTCAATTACTTCTGTTTTTCATTATTTTAATGTCAAAACTGACAAATTGTAAGTGTGTTCGCTATGATTTTATGTTTATTACAAAAAATCTTTGAAATCTACCTGTCCTATGAAAATGTAATGTTGGTTGCATCGAGAATTTGGTCAGGCTCATTATTCCTCGTGTTCTATCAAGAGACAGCATGAATATGATTCTAGATTATCTATCTTAATTACTAAAAAACTAAAAACGTAATTTTTGAAAAGGTGAACAAACTAGAAAAGATTATCCAATTTTTTTAAAATTTGTAATCGAGTTTGTATCGGAATATGTATTATCGATTGCATCTTACAGGCGCAGGCCTCGTAAAATTATGTGAAACACTGTGTATGTTTGTAACTTTTTACTTCTTTTTATTTATGTTTTTTTTTTTATACTGCTTTCAAGGTGTTGAAATGGCATCAAAACTATTAACTTCCAAAGACATCGAAGAATACCTATTCTTCATCAGAAGAAGTTGTAGCTTTGAATGAAATCAAAAGGAAACGTAAGAAAGAATTGTTTTCTACAATTAATTTAAATAAAATCAAAATTTGAAATAAACTTTCAGTGGACACATTAAGTGGTATTCTGCATACAAATATGTTGCTAAAATATGCCATATAAGGTAAGGTTTCAGGAACCTGGAAAAAATGTTAAAAAAAATTTGTCTATAAAAATTTTGAAATTATGACAGTTTAAATTTTGCTTTTTGACTCTATACAGGGTATTTCACGAGTGATTATGACCGGACATTTGAACTGCAGCCAGCAATACATTTGCATAGGCTTCATGGATTTTGAATATCACTTTTAAAATTAATAAAACATAGTTATCGCATGACTGACACAAAGAAATTGACAAGACAGGAAACACAATTTTTAAGGTTATTGTCTATCTACCATTGCAAAACACTTTAGTGATTCAAGCCTTTTTGGAGCTTTTCTATACAGGAAACATTGTCTTTACAAAGGTTCAACGGCAGAAGCATTTTTCCCAAATTCGTCATAAATGAGAATCAGATCTGTTTTCTCATCGATCGAATGCATTTTGAAATTTTGCTAATATCAGTTGTGACAAATAAAATTATGGAAGCATAGCTATCATGGACTCATAATTCGGTTTTTCAAACAATGCGATATCTAAAATATCCACGTTAACTTTACAAATGTATTGTGGGTTGTATTTTCAATTTCGTCAGGCTCATTATCACTCGTGAAATACCCTGTATTTATTTCTGTTGGAAAAATAAATTTCCAAGTTTTTGCTATACAGACCATTAAAAGAGGAAACAAGAAAGCTGTATCCTAAATTGTAACTCTGTTCAATGTTATTTGTGGTTTTTATTTACAAAATTTTTGTACCTTTACTTAAGTAAAAATTGTAAAAAAAAGTTTTTTTTACAATTATTAATAATTGTAAAAAAAACTTATACAAGATCATCAGTATCATTAAATAGTCATAAAAATTGTCAAATGTCAAAAAATAAACGTCAAAATTTTTTGACAGAAAGAATTTTTTAATCATTTTTTTTATGTTCCTGGTATCTTATCTTACATGAAATTTTTCTCTGTAGCGCGTGTTTTGGCGCGACTGTATATTTACATATATTATTCATAAATATGAAGCAATATTTCAACCTCAAAAATGACCGATAAAATTTAAATAATAACTCGTGTCCGATCTCTATTGATAAGAATTTTACAACCCTCGGAATGTGGGTATGGAAATTTATTTTTTTTTGTAATAACTTTGGAACCATTTAACCAGGTATTACAAAATTTGGAATAGTTACTTGCGAGAACATACCCTTTAGGCTAGTAATTACGAAAACTGAATACATCTACTCAATTTCCGGTTTCAGCAGTTGCAGGTCACATTTTCTGTGTTTTTCCGTTCCAAAAAATGTCAATGTAAGCCACGCTTTATTGTCATGATTGACGTTTGAAACTAAAATTTGAAAGTTGTAGTTGAAATTTATTTTTGGTGTCGATTTTCCGAAACAATAATACCAGTAATACGTGTTTTTACATAAGTTCAATAAATTATTTTTATTCAATTTTGACGTATTAAACCGTATTTATTAACTTCATAACAACCAAGGTAAACAATTGTTTATTCGGTAGAGTGAATTAAATTTTTTTTAACTCAATAGTGATTAAAAAAAAATTAATTCACTCTTTGTTAAAAATCAGATATATATGTAGAACTTGTTAGAACATTTATTTAGAATTAAAATAAAAATTACAATTATGCAAGTCACTAAAATTAAGCTTACATCCAACATTTATTTAATGGATTGGATAATTCTCCATTAGTAATTCTTATGTTCTCTTTTTCATTAATTTCTGTAATACTGATACCACTTGTAGTGGCAACAATTCTTTTTGCTTCCACTGTAACGCCAGAAGCTCCATCGCATACTTCACTTTCATTTTTTCCAAGAATTTTCTTTGAAATTTCAATTTTATTTGCAAGCGAATCCTCGATGTATCCCTCCGCAACTGAATTTGAGCGCCATCCGCCGTGTCTCTTTAATACAGTCAAGTCAGCGCCAGCGTCAGCAAGAAGTGTGGCTGACGAACGTCGAAAACTGTGTCCTGTATATTGTTCTGCATTCGAAAGACCCAGAAATCCAGCAATTTTTTGTGGCATCTTTGCGAAAGTGTTCAAAC